AAGTTCTCCCTTACGTTTCATAAAATGACTCCCACAATCCTGTACCTCAGAGCACAGCACGTGGAAATGCTCCCTGATGACAACACTTTCCTTCTAATTCCTAAAACTAAGACATTAACCACCACAGAGAAATTCTCAACAGAACTGCAACTGCCTGGCAACCACACAGTTTTACACATGAACAATCAGAAAGTGTTTAAATTTTGTGTTTAGGCTGCATCTTAATAAATGAGCTGCTCAATAAACATTCTGGGGGTTTTTTTGGTGGTGTTTATTTTTAAATTTTAGCTTAACAATTACTAAAAAAAAATTTCCCCTGCACTAAGAAACACTATCTTCCATAAAATATTTTTATATTAATGCTTTTGACAATGCAGTAACTACCTACAATAAGTATTGCTAAAACTGTTCTGACACAGCACATTTAGAAACGTGAACACCACTTGAGTACAGCAATAAGAATTGTTTGAGTGCAGTATTTATTGTGCTTTAGTAACTGTGGCATGAGTAATTGCATGTTTGTCCCAAATCATTCATTAATTGCATTTTCTACTTCCAGGAATTTTGCTTAGAGAACAGCAATTCAAGGAGGCAAATTATGAAAGCACATCACCATTTGTGCAACTGTCCTCCAAGTCACAGGCTGGAACACGGTCAACACATGTGACCCTTCTACAGCAGGGATGAAAGGTTCCCTAAGGAAAAACCAGATGATGTGAGAGCCCATGAGCTCATTAAACAGCAGTCAACTAGATCCCAAACCTGAGGCATCACTATCTACACACTCTGTACTTCTTATGGAAAGCAGAGTCATGAAATAAAAAATGATCTCCAGCTAGTGATGTACCATCAGTTTCCTTCAAGAGCAGAGCAAATAACTTTGGTAAAAACCCAGCCCTCCCAAGGAATGCAGTGGCAAACTAAATTCACAGGTTTACACCAGGGAGTCCCATCTGGACTCACAACACTCCCAGCACCCAAACCCCTCCATGACAACCCACCCGCCTCCTCCAGCACAACCCAAGGCTGAGGTTTCACATTCTGGGGCAACTGCGACACATTTTTCTGCTGGGTTATTTTTCAGTTGGATCAGTTCCCCACACAGCTGCAGGCTCAGCTGTGCCAGCACAGACACGGGGGTGCCACTAAAGGCACGCCCAGGAACAACGGGGTTTGGGAGCCTCCAAAACAATCCAACAGCTGGGGAAGAGCTGCCTCATTAAAACAGAAAGGAGGAAGACATCAGATCAGAGTTAAGAAAATGCTACTTAGGGAAACAAAATACTTTCACTCGCTGGGAGGAGAGAACATCCCCATTTTGGGAAACCCTGAAGCCAAATTCTGACCAGTCGCAATCAAGACAAGGAAAGCTGAGCACAGAATCCATCTTGAGCATATGGGCTAAGCTGGATCCACCTGCCTTGGTCAGAAGTATCTGAACTCAAGTCAGTGGCTCACAGGATCCAAAATATGCAAAAAGGTTGATCCCTTGCCTAGGACCCTCTCCTCACAGCAGCAGAGTGCCACTGTAACAAGACAACTCCATTCCACGACTGCAGAGAAAACCCTTTAGGTGTCAACAGACACTCAAATTTAATGCATTTTGGGAAAACTACAAGCTGCAAACCAGCTTCAGACATTTTAAAGGCTAGGAATTACATTGGGATAATTCCATTCTAAGCTCAGATACAGTGAGAAGAAGGAATCTCATCCAGCAATTTCTGATGCGAGCTCAACTTCTGTTGGAGACAAGTACTTCTTTTTATGGAAAAAAAGAAAAGGAATAGCACACTAAATCTGGACTTCAGTGGCTACAAGTGACAGAAAACATAATGCACTTCAAGGGAAATTACTACAACATTTAACAACAGGTCTCATTAAAAATATAAATATTTATGCTAAGTATACTTAAGAGTTCAGCAGACATCAACTTCCTGCACTTGCAAAGGTAGCCCGTCCCTCACTGATACTCTCTGTGCACACACACCAAGGGCAGGATTTGCCTGGTTAGCTCCAATAATGTTGGTTTTATTCTGCAACCCATCGTGGACCTTTCTCAAGGTCGTTCTTTTGCAGGGTATGAATCCTAGTTCTCAAAAAGAAATGACCTACAGGTTTTTTTGCTGCATTCAGAAGAAGGGATTAGCTACATAAAAATACCAACACAAAACAAACGCATCCGACTTCACAATCCTTGGCTGTCAAAGTATTTGTGAAAAAATGAGAGGGAGATCAAGAGAAGAAACTATTAATATGAAACCCAGATCTCCATCAACCCAGCACTGCTTCATCTTGACCACTGATGCCACTTCTGCAGTCAACTAACAATTTTGTTCTGCTTCACTCAAGTTTTATTGAGTTTTTAAACAAAGAACGCTATCGCTTTTGCCTTTATTAAAGACACACTTTCTACATTATATACAAAGGTGTACGTATTTCTTTAAGGTATTTAATGAAATAATAGGCTTCCAAGAAAAAATAAAAGTTGTGCAGCATTACTCATGCTGCAATCTTCTGATATTTTATTAATTACATTCAGTTTATTAAACACATCAACCTCTCCGTAACTTTGTTCAAGACTAACTTCAGTTTTATAGTTCTGAAGATCATGCTTCTTCAGCATTTTATACTTCTGGAACTTCAGGACTTAAAAACTGGATAAAATATACATTAGTGAGATCAAAATATTCTGAACTCGCTTTGCTTTTCTGTTCCAAATCATTTAAAATTTAACTCTAATTGCAACTCAAATGTATGATAATTAAGTAATAGAATCCACAGTATGGAATAAAATTTATTTTAACTTTAAATTTATAATGCAACACAAGCATTCTACTTCTTTCAAATAACAGTAGTAAATTAATTATAAAACACCTATGACTTTTTTCATTGAGGATAATACTTTTACAGTCTTTGGTACTGGAGTTCAAAAACTGTTGTGAACAGGCACACGTGTCTCTCACTTAATTAAAAAACTCTTCAACTTCTCTTTTCACATCAATTTAAATTTCTTCAGTACTATTTTCACTACTACCCCATTTCTTTGAAAATAAAGATACATCTTTCTTTTTTTTTAATACTCCACAACTAACAAAGTTTTTTTCTGTTCTTGACACTTCTTTCACGGTTGAAATGTGACTTTAAATAGGCATCTAAGAAAGTTTTAAGTATTTTAATTCAGGTTTTTAATGCCTAAATGTTTCTTCCCACATAGTTCTGCTCATGTTCATTTACGGTTCTGGAGAACTGGCATTTTCAATCGTTACTTGGATTTTTTAATGCTTGTTCTTAAAACCATCTGCAGAGAACAAAGCAGACTCCCCATCAGTAAACCCTGCCTCTGATCCATAGCAACACCTGGTCCTGTCACTCTCAACTGTTATCTACTCAAAAGCAGAGTTAATACAGTTCAGCCCATAATCCTGTGCTGGTTTTGCTAAGTAAAATATATCTAGTAAGTCATACTGCACTCACATCACACCTAATTGTATTAGGCTAAGCAGGAACAGCACTGTAATCTGTCTGCAGAGGGGATGGCAGAGTTTTCTTAAAATAAAGCAAAATAAATACAAAAACATGGGATAAGACTATTACTTAGTAGATCCCATAGTACACATGTTGCCATGTTCCCTTCACGTGTTCCCAAGGCTCTGGACTTGGTACAACCAGAGGTTATACTACACTGGTTGGCTGGGATGAGGTACAAGACAGATGCCTGTATCACCCAAACCCTTCTGGATTTTCAGACTGAATTTAGGTAACGGCAAATTCCCCCTGAGTAATCTCAAATCTAAACACTTCTCACTTCAAAAATTAAGGTCCCAAGAACCCAAACTCACACCGGTTTATGTCAGACACAGTGAACCACTGGACTCAGACACTGCTGTGAAACAACCCACAGCCAGCCTGAGTCACTGAGCAGTGCTCCTGAACTACTATCACCTGTAACTCATTTCCCTGTTTCTACATCCCAAGGTAATTCTAAACTAGTATTTTTGTTTGGAAAAGGGTATGGGGTGGGAGTGCACATTTTCAGGGCGGGGCTGTTGTTTCCTTTTCCCTACACAGAGTCAACCAGAAATGCATTCATATCAAAACTAAAAAGCAAAATCAATTAAAAAGGACTCACCATTAAAAAAAAAAAAATAAATTCTGTCCTGTTCTAACTAGCTCTCCCCCACACCTCTGCAATCACTGAAGGGCAGGCAGCCATCAGACACTGGGACTGACAGCCAGGGTGCCATGAAGTAGAAACAGGACAAGCTGAAGATCTGGCCCTTTATCTCTGTCAGCAACACAGCAGTGTGTCTCTGGGAATTCACCCCACTACCAAAAACCACTCTGCTGACCCACAAGCAACGCAGCACAAGTACACAGCAGGTCCTGTGCCACTGGCTGCAATGGTGGCCAAAAACATTTCACTAAGCTCAAAGACTGAAGGAGCAAAGACCTAAATCCCCCCACCCCCATGCCCTTACAACCCATTCTTCTAATCAATATCTAAAACAGAACTTCAAACAACCTCTAGGTGCAGATTTTTGCTTCCAAATTAACCCTCTCAGCCCAGCCTTACCTGTTGAGGTTGTGGACACACATCAAGCACTAAGACAGGCTCTCATTCTATGCCCCTCTGTCTCCCACCACCCCAGGAATCCTTCAGAGGCCTCAGGGGTTCAACTGCTTGTGCAGTCATGGAATAACGAACCAGAAAAACAAAGCTACAACTGCACAAACTGAAGAAACTTCACAGTCATACCTGAACCAGCAGTGCTTTGGTTTGATTATTTTTTTCATTGAGAAAAATAAAAAAAAAAAAAAAAGAGAGAAGTAAGAATGAAACTGTTTTTGTGAAGACATGACCAGTCTTAATTCTTTCACAGGCTTTGAAATATAGTACAAACCAAGAAAACAGTGAGTTATCCCAATGTTTTTCATTCTGTTGTGTCCCACCAAAGAACAATCCCCCATAGACATTTCCCAGAAGAAATAAAAAGCCTTACCTTTTGGATAATCTTCCAATAAGAGGTTGAAGTGACCTAACTGACAAAAGAAATCAGACTCGACCTTTCCTTCAGCTTTCAAAATTAGCGATTCATAGCAGCGAACAGCCTGGGAAGAAGAAATACAAGGTGTTCAAAATTCTGTACTTAACTAAGGCAAACAATACATTTTCTGAGAAATAATAAAGTTTCTTATTAGCCTGCAAGACGAGAAGTCTACAAACACTCTCAGTAACACAGCATCACTTTCCAAAGAAGAAATGTAATATTTAAGACGGAAGCTCACTGATCGTAATGCAAATCGACAACATATGAACAATACAAGTTTTCTCTGGTTTATTTGTGGACATTCAATTTCCCCAACACAAAACAAACCTCTAACTTACACGATGGCTTTTTTTCATTTAAAAAGAAAAAAAATCAATGAATGCAAAATGATTGATTTTACTTATTTATTCTTTCCAATCTGCAAGAAAGAAACATCTCTGATTTTATTCTCATTCTGTGTTGGTTTTTTCCCCTACAAAATTCATTTTTTCTTCTACCAGTTATTTCACTCATTTTTGCTAAACTGAAGAACATACTATCTCAACATGCTTGCTTAGACAATTTATGTACCTTCACATTTATTTCCCAAGATCTCATTCTTTTCAATTACCTCTCATGTCATAAAATACAGTTTACTACCTTCTACTTACTACACAGCTACTGCAAAGTTAGAAACGTAAATCCAATTAGAAATTAATTTTGTTTTGAGAAAAGCTGCCCCAGAAGCTTTTAAGTGGCTCCTACAGTCAGAGGTTGTTCTGTGCTACAACACACATTTTTAATAATTGAATTGACACCTTCTATTCACCAGAATGGCCATGACGTTTTACCTATTACATCCTTACCTCGTGATACTATTTACACTTTGGGAATAAATAAATAAATAAATAAATAATCACTTTCCCAACTTTCTGAACTTCCAGTTTCTTGATTTTGAACATACTGGCCATTAAACTCAAGCAGCTGAATAAACTAAAATTGGAAGGAAGGTCCTTTGCCCCAGCAGACAACTTCACACTTTCCAAAAGCCTGACACACTTCCAATGAATTCTAATTCTAGCTCGTTAATCCATGACTTTCACCACCTCATGGTCTGATTATGTTTCAGATTTGGTAGCAGTTATGAACGGCTTGATTTTAATGTATCACAATAATCACAGACCTTAATACTTAATCTGAAGGGAGGGAAAGAAACAAGCTGAATACTCAATTAGCAGTCTTGTCCATATTTAAAATTTACTTTGTGTAAACTTGTATTAATTATAGACATGAGAAATGCCAAAAATTAAATGAGGAAATGTTAAGAAATAGTTGAAACACACCCGTGGAGAATCCAAAACACTGATCTAATCTGTTATGACTGGGTCTCAGTTTATATCCCAAGACTGAGATATATCACACACTTCCATCTACTTCCAAGTCCAGAAAAGCCTTATCCTAGGGCTGTTTTCAGAGGTAAAGTTCTGATGAATAAAAACAAAGCGACGCTGCTACAGAACTGCATGTGTGGTACAGGTGCATGTGTGGTACTACAATGATTTAGTAAAGCCATTAAATTACATATTTCAAACTCTGTAGCTCTTTGGCCACATTCTGAAGAGCTCAAATTGAGATGGATATTTGCCTCTACATCAAAGAACTGCTACAGAACTTTTCCTTCATGCTGCAAGTTCTGCCTTTGCAAACTGCACTGCAAGGACAATAATTCTGTCCACTGTTGATCAAAGCTAGCACTCTTTTAATTTCATTTCCCTTACTATCAATACCTCTTGGAGTCAGTCAACTCTCAACCTGGACTATACGATCCTTGAAATCAGAAGCAAAGCATACAAATCTGAAGTAAGCTTCACCAGCTGAACCTGCTCCAACCTGCAAATATTTTTAAGGCAGAATCTTCGTTTTGGGGCTGTGCTTCCCCTCTCCACTTTTTGGTCTCATCTCTCCATTTGTACAAATCGTAACAGAATTCTTGGTTACTGTCAGGTTGATTTGCAGACAGGCTTTCTGTTTTCTGATGATTTGCAATACCTGCTGCAGCTGCTGCAGAGAATATTCACACTACGACAGTTTCTTAAATTAATATTTTGTCTTCTCCAATTCAGTGACTGTTGAGATCATACAGAAACTGCCACCACAGCAGGTAGCTTAGAAAAACCGTGGAGAGGAAGTTGAGGTAGTTTATTTCCTGAATTAGATGGCTACAGTTATTTAAAGAGAACCTGACTTTATGAACACACATAACAGGATTTTTCTGTACAGATGTTCAAGGAAATTATAAATCACACAAACTTAAAACATCTCAGCACCTGGGGACCTTCAGTGTTTACCCAGCTCCTTTCGAAGTAAATCCTCATTAAAAGACATCTCACAACTATCCGAAGCACTGCGTACAGTAGGGATACAAAACCCTGTGCCAAAGCCTTTCACACATGTCATATCAACTCTCAACAAGGCAGATTTTCTCTTTGCCTTAAAATACTCGCTGAAAATACTGCTGAGCCATCTCACTAGCGCTGGCACAAGGCAAGGCCTAAGACACCAGAACTTCCCCTTTGAGCCACAGTTAACTGTAAGTTATCTGTTCCTGTAAGAGCAATTCAATTACACCACTAAAAACAAACCCACCCAGCCGACCTCTAACCCGTTTGCAACATTATCAGGAAAACACTCGTTTTTATGCAAACTTAACTTGTGAAGGTTGTTTGTTTCAAAGGAATTTCTAAAACTCTTGTAGCACATTGTAACAAAATGAAACAGAAACTAAAACCAAGCTTCATTTCCTTGGCGGGAACACCAAGTCAGCCTCCGTGTCTCAGGTTAGTCACTGCGTGGCTCTTGTTCTTCCTGGCAGATTCAGCCAGACAAACTGATTTATCCAACTTTGGTTTCAGTCAAGAAACTTTCTTCCCCATCAGACCAGTCCATGAGCATCTTAAGAAAGTAACAGTACTTTTGTGCATAGCTAGCAATGTCTCCTTGTTGAATGAACCGATGTAAAGAGGGAGGACACAACCACATGTATTTGTGTATGATTTCTTTGAAGGAATAATCACAAGGCCAAGTTTCAGCGGATCTTTAACTGCCAAGGCCACCTATGGCACCGCTCGTGCAACCCACTTAAATCATCCAGAGACACCAAGAACTCTGAGGAAGTTACAAACCCCTGAGGTTTTTACGTATTGTTATTTCCCCACACTGTATGATCACTAAGTGCATTCAGTGGAGTCAGCCTTGAGAACTACCAATATCGACAAATTGCCAAGAGGGGGAAAGACCCTGGAATGGAGAGGGAGATTGTGACACATCATCATACACTTCCTTCCCTTTGTTCAAGGCTGCACGAAGATAAAAGGGAAACCTGAAGAATTTAGGAACTCGGCAAAATAAGCACCCACAGCTGCTCTGCAGTGTGGCAACCAGAGAAGAAGCAGGAAACCAACACAGGTTGGCTGCAGGAAAGAAACTGTTACTTTTTTGGTGACATATAAACCAATCTTCCGTTGTTTGCTACCTTCACCTGGAGAAATACACTTTCTGTATTTGCCATACAAATTCCCTCTTATGACATCAGAGTTCGTGACTGGGGCCATCCTGATTTCACAAATTCAGGCACCAATTCTCAGGACACCTTTAAAGACAACACAGTGAAGAAAAAGGCTTACTGTATTTGCCAACTTGGAAAAAGCCTGCAGAACATTCATATGTGTTCACAAAAGGCAAAGCAATTCTAGTATCACCCTTAAAATGTGCTTCCAAATCCCTGTGTGTTCACTACTTATCGATCCAAAGGGAAAGGTATGATACATTTCTTCCATCTGTTTTAAGATCATTCACCCTCTCCCCACACTCACAACAAAAGCCCCAAACCAAACAAAGCAAAACCAACCCCATAAAGCAAAAGCCAATTTTGGCTATTATGAACATCACGTCATTTCATGAATAAAAGACCCTAGATTAAGTAAGTAAATAAACAAACCCAACCCCAAACAATCTAATAGATAAAACCAGAATTCTAAATATTGTATACAGCAGTCACTCAAACATATTACAGCTCTGCTTTATAATGGAAAAGGAAGGAAAATGTTATTTCTACTTCAACTAATATGAAGAAAAAAACTTTACCATTATCCCTGGTTTGCAATTATTTCTATTTTACAGCACAAATTCAAACTACTGCTAAACACCTGTTCTAAAAAGAAGGAAAAAATCAATACAGCTTGTTTGAATTGTTTCTGAAGAAGACAGTGGATTGATACCCTTTTTTCATCACGACAAGCTTGAATGACTATCAAAGCAAGCAGGGCTAAATGGCCAAACATGACAAAATGTTAATTCTTTAATATATTAATCATATGAAAATGGGGGAGTGCAAGTCAGCAAATTTTTATTTAAAACACAGAAAAAACATTGGCAACTAGAGAGAACCAAAAAGCCAGCAATTTAAACTGTTCGCCTGGCAACAGCTGGGCAGTAATATACAGTGAAAGAAGTTATTTGAATTTTACTGGGTAATAAATGAACTGCTTGAGAAAAAACAGCATTTTAATGCAGACAATATAGTGTAAAATGACAAATTCAAAACTTCAAGATGTTCCTAGAACCTTCAAGTTCACAAGAGAAAACACTATTGTATAGAAAAACTGGGGGAGGGTGCCGAAAACAAACAGTTGCTGCTCCTTTCGCCTTGATTCTCCAGTGAGATCCAACTGGGTTTTGTGAGCAGGTAATGAAAACTGGAAGCACGAACAAGATTCCATGTGAAAAAGTCTGAAGAGGGATATGTCAGTGGACTAAATACATACTACATCAATGGTTAGAAATGGAATGTTAATTAGGTCTTAAAGGATATTTTATCCTCCTGGAAAACAAAGTAATCAGGTGGTCACTGAGGTGATGGTCACACCATCTACTACTACCAGTCAGTCTGAGAGGACCTACAGACCAGAAAGGCAGAGGTGTTTGGGTGTTCTGGGTTCCTTTCCCTATCTCAGTGTCAACAGAGGATGTTCCAAAATGCTTCTCTTCCCACCCCTTCCTCCAGGCCACAATTCACCAAAATGA